CTTGACGAGACAACGACACTCGACGACAGAGAAACCATCACTCCCTGCCATCGTCCCCATAAGGAAGCGACGATGATGAGGCTCACAACTTGTTGTCGAGGGAGATCACAGAAGTAGGACTCCCAGTAGGTCTAGAAAAGCCACCCTTGTTGGGGTCCTATGATGGTACAACTGATACAGATGACCATATAGAGGATATCGACGCCCTCCTCGATTACCAAGGAGTGAAGGGCATGATCAAGTGCAGACTATTCTCAACCACCTTAAGGAAAGGTGCCATGGCTAGGTACAAGAGGTTGTCGGACGAGTCTATTACCTCCTGGAAACAGTTGGAAAGGATATTCTCGAGGCACTTCACCGCCTCCCTCCGACATTCGAAATCAGAAGCGTCACTATAAGCAATTATCCATGGCATAGATGAGCCTCTGCGAGCATATATCGAGTGCTTTAATAAAGAATCCATACAGGTCTCAACGATCGATGCCATGAATAAATACCTTCTCGAGCACGGGCTCCGCCTCTGCAGCGACTTTGCAAAGGTTATGGGCATCGAAACTTCAGCCACTCTCGACTCCCTCCCCCTCAAGACTCAAGCGTACATTCAGTATAAAGAAAAGGAGGCGGCCAACAATGCAAGGGACTCAAGGCACAAAGAGAATGCCAAATCCTCGAAAAGCAACGAGCCCTCGACATCCCGTCAGGGGGGGGGGAGAGAAGAAGCGAGAAGACAAATCTCGAGACTCCAGAGACTACAAGGGACCTGCTAGCCGGTTCTACGACTACACCCCCCTGAACACTTCGAGGGAGCATATTTTGACTGAATGCGCCAACTCATAATTCAAGTAGTTCGGGCTACACTTTCCTCTCCAAACACCCGCCAAGCCCGAGACCGACAAGAGTAAGTACTGTAGGTTCTACAAGAGCCATGGGCACAACACTGACAACTGCATCCATCTCAAGGATGCAATCGAGATACTGATTTGAGACAGACACCTCAAGCAGTATAAGAAGAAAGATGGTGCCCACGAGCATCCTCAAGAAACCAAGAATATCGAGGAGGGGAAGGAGTCCCCCAATGTCGACATCATATAGGTCGCCATGAGAAGGGGAAGGAGTCCCCCCTCAATAAAGATGGAGGAAGTTCCACTATATTTTTCCTCGCATAGTCCCTGGGAATCCTTCCCCGCAGCGATGGGCATCTCCAGAGGGGGATTCAACAAGCACACAGTGGGCTCTGTAAAGAGAATGTTCAATCAATTAATAAAAGCAAAATCTGACATGGGCGCCACCCACAATAAGTTCAGAGGAGGCTATCACCCCCTCGCATTCTACAAGGAAGAACTTCTAGGCGGAGCTCCCAACTTGACCATCCCGCTGCTCGTACGAGCACGTATGGAAAACTTTGATGTTTGGCGCATCCTATTCGATCAAGGAAGCTCGGTAGACATAATGTACACCCTTATATTTACCACCTTACAATTGAAAGAGAGTCATCTTACCCAATACGTAGGCTCAGATCTTCAGGGCTTCAACGGGTCCGTCACCAAATTTTGGGGTATGTTAAGCTAATTGTCACCTTTGGAAGAGGGGTGACAGCCAGGGCCATCAAGACCCAGTTCTAGTGGTGGACTGTCCGTCTCTCTACCAATGCATCTGTTGAAGGCCAAATCTAACTAAGCTGATTGCGGTGCCCTCCACCATGCATCTTAAGATAAAGTACTACACTGCCGAAGGTTTGGTCACCACTCTACAGAGGGACGTCCAAGCAGTAAGAAGGTGTTTTAAAGCTTCGGCCAAGGGCATGAGTTCCATCAATTCTCATCCCCGAACAGCCACCGGATCCACTCTACCCTCCAGCTCCGAGGAACCTAGACCACTACCGAGGGTCAACATCATCGACCTAGACAATCGCTTCTCCAAGGAAGACCTCACAGAGAGGAAGAGAAAAGGGAAAGAGCCCATGGTCGAAGGGGAAAGCTTATTCCCGACTACATACAACAAGGAGCCTTCGGATCCCATGTGACCTGTCCCAGACGGGGACTTCGAGATCATCCCCTTCAGAAACGACCCCTCAAGAGGAGTAAAGATTGGTCCCGACCTCCCCGACCTGGCGAAGAGTTAACTGGAAGCATGCTTGAAGGAGAATGTTGATTGCTTTGCCTGGAGTGCAGCTGAAATACCCCGACTGGACCCAGAACTTGCATGTCACCATCTGATTGTAGACCCTGCCCTTAAGGAGGTTTCTCAACATAGGCGAAAGGAGTCTCCCCAAAAGACGGAGGCTGCCGAGCAGGCTGTAAAAGACCTCTTAAAGGCACATTTTATTTATGAATTCCAGTACATAACATGGCTCTAAAATGTAATCCTCATGAAGAAATATAATGGAAAGTGGCGTATGTGCATTGATTATACCGATCTCAATGGGTAAGAACTCCTAATTGCTTGCTCACAACTTTTTTCATGAACAACACATTTTCACATCACTTTTAAACAAATATTTTCAAAAACACTTTGTATACATTCTTGAGGACTGATACAAGAATCATTGTTATCCTTACATTGACATTTCAAAATATTTTCAAACAAATCACACACACACAAAGCAAGTTTTTCAAAAGTGAGCTAAGTAATTAAGAGCCCGTAGATAATTACGGATGAAAAGGGTGCTAACACCTTCCCTTTTCATAACTTACCTCCCGAACTCAAAATCTATCAAAGGTATTTCCTGTTCTTTTCACCTTTTCTAAATATTGGATAAAAGAAAAGTCGGTGGCGACTCTTGCTATCCGCACATTTGGATAAAACCAAAAAAGTCAGTTCTCCCACTGTATTACACTAGCCACATTAGCGAAAAATCCATTAATGTTCATGTTTAATTGCTTAAGCTCAATGTAAATTGAAGCAAAGTATGGAAAAGTTGTATGCAAGCTTGCTTTGGTGGAAACAGAAAAAAATTTGTTGCTTCATAATAATTCTTCTAAAACATAAAAACCCTAACATTATCCCAATCTTGACTACTAGGGGGATAATCACCTTCAAATAAATCCCTATAGTCTTCATCCTCATTATCTAACTTATCAAAAGCAGATTCAAACTTCTTAGTCGCCTCTAACATCAAATATGTCGAGTTCTATATAGTTGAAACATCAAGACATACTAACTTCTTACATGTAATCTCGACATATTCTACACATTCCTTGAACTTTAAATCTCTATGGGATGAAGATCTTACAAACCTAATTGCATTTCTAACACTTGAAATTGAGGTGCTGGCTACTTTTAATCCATCTCTCACAACCAAATTCAGAATATAAGCACAACACCTCATGTGAAACCCAAACCTATCCAACAAAGATCCATCCATGTTTCTTATTTTCTGCTCTAAATATTTAACAACAACATCATTTGATGCCGCATTATCTACCGTGATGGTTGAAACATTTCCCAGTCCCTACTCCTTCAACACCATCCTTAACCTTCTTACCAAATGTTTTACCTCAGTGATTTGGGATAACTGTAAAGCTAATTATCCTTTTTTGGTATTACCAATCCCTTTCTATAAAATGGGCAGTGATGGTCAAGTAGTTTAGATTTTGAACAGAAGTCCAACAATATGTTGTAATTGCCACCCTGCTACAATCAGACTTAAATAACGCTCTCAACCTCACTTTCTCATCAAGATATAATTGAAAACAATCTCTAATTATTGTTCTCCTTAATGGTATAGTAAATTGGGGTTGCATTTGCTTACAGAAGAAGTTAAATCCCTCCTTCAACTGTAATAAATGGCTTCTCATCTAAAATGATAAAATGAGCCAAACACTTTCTACAACCCAAAGGATCAAACTTAGAATTTGTTGGAACCAACCCAACTCTATGAGTTGTTGAAAATTTCAATATGATTTAGGTAGGGTCAGTTGACAGGTTCAACGGATACTTAGGACACGTTTTCATGTGACTCTTTAAGTTTAATGTTCCATGTTTTTTAGAGTCATACATGTACCTTTGATGACAATACTTACATGTCGCAGTAGCGAGATCACTATTAGAATACGGTTAAAGTGGTCCCATACCTCAGACCTCTCTCTAATAGGTATTTACATTAGTTTTTTTTCTTCCGACTAATATGAGGAGTATTTGAGGTTGAGTCATTAGGTGTTATTATTGTTGGAGTGTTTTCATCCATACCTGAAACAATGAGTATTATTATTGAAAGATACATGTTATACATCTACTTATACATGTTACAAAACCATAAAAACAGAAACTACAAATTCAAAGATACATGTTATATTTCAAGTTCCTCTACTTATACATGTTACAAAAACAGAAAACAGAAACTACAAATTCAAAGATACCAATGAGTATTATTATTGAAATATTAACAATGAGCAACCAAACAGAATACATAACAACGAGCAACCATAAAAATAGAAACTAAAAATTCAAAGATACATGCTATATTTCAAGTTCATCTACTTATACATGTTACAAAACCATAGAAACAAAAACTACAAATTCAAAGATACATGTTATATTTCAAGTTCAACAACTTATACATGTTACAAAAACAGAAACTACAAGTTCGGAATACATGTTACCGCAATATTCCGACAACTAAACATTCACAATAAACATTTAGAAAGAATACATAACTCAATAAGTGATACAACAACTTCAGAAACAAAATACATGTTACTGTTATTTTGCAAATTTCCATCTCCTTGCATTTCTCCAAGTCTTTACATATCTTAAAAAAAAATCCAATCAAATGCCACGAACATAGCCATGATCCAATGATAGCCAATCCATTGCAGAAAACATAACCGGGTTTGATCGGATCACTTCGGGTGGTTACCGAACGTTCACCCCTAGTAGATTCTATGAAATGAAATAAAATGTGTTATTTTATTTTGCAAAAAATCAAACAACTTGGTTGACGTGGATATTAGTATTAGTGATTGTTATACACGTATTCTCTCTCCTCACAACAAAATCCAATGGCTTCACTCTCCACCACCACCACCACCGCTCTCGCCCCTCCTCTCCGTCCACCCACAACCTCCCGTATCCGCTCACAATCCATTTCCCTCCCCAATCCCCACCCAAACCCCAACTCTCCCTCACCTTCTTCAATCACCGGAGTAGATAAACTCCGGCACACAACAATGTCGGTGACGGATGAACGAACAAAGAGAATAGCGAAGGAAGTGGAGAAGATGAAATCGAAGGAAGCGAAGGAGAGAAAGGAGATGACGAGTAGGAAGGTAGCGTCGCAGAAAGCGGTGTCGGTTATACTTCGTAGAGAGGCTACGAAGGCTGTTATTGATAAGAGGAGGAGGAAAGGGCCTGTTAATTCTAAGAAGCTTTTGCCGAGAACTGTGCTTGAAGCGTTGCATGAAAGGATTACGGCGTTGCGTTGGGAGTCTGCTCTTAAGGTTTTCTTTCTTTCTTTTGTTTTGTTTTTTTGATGAATTCAATGTGATTCGTTATGTGGAGTTTCGATAGGTTGGTTTTGAGGTATTTTGGAGAAATGGGTTTATGGTTGTATTTCTGTGTATTGTTTGTGCGGTAAGAACTCACATGCTGTAAAGGACATAATGTTGAGCGGTTAAAAATTAACACCAGACAACATGAGAATAAAGTAAGTGTAAGATGTGTGGTAAGACCGAACATGAGAAGATTAGAAATGACAATATTAGATAGAGAGTTAAGGTAACACCTGTAATAGAAAAGATGGTGGAAAATAGACTTAGGTGGTTTGAGTGTGTAGAGAGAACACATGTAGATTCTATGATTCTGTGGTAAAGAGAGTAGATCAAATGAGGAGAAGTCAAACAACTAGAGGAATACTTAGAAAAATCATAAGAGAAGTAATTCAGAAAGATCTCGAGATTAACAATTTGGATAGAAACATGGCCTGCATAGAACATTGTGGCGAAAGTTGATTCATGTAGCCGACTTCACTTAATGGAATAAGGCTTGATTGTTGTTGTTGTTTGTATGGTTGGTTTTGTTCTATGAAGAGTACGCCTACATCAATCACAATGACACATAGTCACTAGCAACTAGTGATTGTGCTCAAGTGGTTAATGAACTCCTCTTAATGAAGAATCATTTGGAAAAAAACAAGTTTGAATACGGGTAGAACAATTATTGGCTAGGCTGTACTTACTTCCCGACCGAATTCCATATTACCAAGGTCCATTTCCCTCAGCACCAAACAAAATATAGACATTAGCAATAATTTAAGAAAATATAAGTGTGTCAGACATTGAATAGGCCTTCAATGTGTAGTGTCAATGTTACATAGGTTTAGCTTTGTTGTGTTTTATTCTATGGCAATATATGCGTCTGATATGAGTTGCGGATGTTTTTTGTTTTTTTATTTGATTAGTTGATTGTGGAATAGAGTTCCATTGGGCTGGTTTTGGTTTTGAGTTCCTCAATGGATCTAGTCCAATGCAAAGCTGATAATCGAAGCAATGGTAACAAAAAAAAAACTTTCTCTTATTGTAAGGTAAAGAAAGCTCCCACTTCTAAGCACATGTACTGTCTATATCTCATCCAATGAGAGAGTCTTAACACCTATGTTGAAAAACCAATCCAATCCATACTGAACCAACTATACTTCTATATACATGTATTGAATATCAGTTGGATATGCCTACACACAATCCTTTTTTGCTTCCTTATATCGAGGAAGAGAAGAAATATTTGTTTTTTGAAAATTTTAAATAGTCATCAACTGACAATTTGCATGTGAGTTATTTATATATTATGGTATTTGTTCTGTACGTCAGTCTAGTCAAGAGAAATGCACATGGGACGCGGAGTTAAATTTGTTTGAATCGAGTCTTAGGGATCATTTGTGTTACTTTGGAATTCTGTGCTTGTAACTTTTGTGGTTAACTTAGTTGATAGTTTTATCTGACAAACATAATTTATAGTTAAATTCAAATCCATATGGGTTCTGTTGTAGGCTTTAGCCGTGGTAACTGGTAATATAAGTTTGCTGTTTGTTCTGCGGCATTAAATTGTACTCCTACCATGTTAACTTTTTCTTGGGAACATGGGAAAGCGAAAGTTAGAATAAATGGATGAGTAGCTTTGACTATGATAATCTTTGATTTGATTGAACTTTGATTAACTTTTGGGAAAATAATTAATTAGACGGATGAGAATGAAAATTAGTTAGCTAATTCACAAAAGAGAGAGAATCACAACTCAACTGCAGTTCAATCCGACTGACCTATGGACCCTTATAGTTAAACCTAACCTTTTATAGGTCCAATGTGCAACTGTTTAAATATTTGTTATTTATTGAAGAAGCTTATCTGTTTATAGAGTTATCTTAGTATGTAGTCTAGTGATGTGGAAAGAAAAAGTGGACTAGAAAAAGTAAAGTGATGTGGTTCCAATGTTAGATTTTAAGGAAGCATAATTGCACAACAGATACAGATTATAGAAGTAAAATGGTAGGTGTAATTGAAAAATGTAGCAACAAAACGAAGTCTCGAAGAGTTAAATTGATTGAGAACGTTTTATCTTTCTGCTGTTTAACTTTAAGGATTTCTTGTACTCTGAAAAATGTCCAATTAGGACCCGGTTTGCATGTATTAATACATAATTAAATTAGTTTTAAAACAGTGGTTGAAATTTGAAGCAGCACTCTTTCTTTTTTCTCTCATACACATGCACACTTGTAAAACTGTTTAGTTTACAGGAAGACTTGATATCATATCAAAAGCATGCTCTCATGGTTTCAGGTTTTTGAGCTACTGCGTGAACAGCTTTGGTACAGACCTTACGCAGGTGTATACATCAAGTTAATAGTCATGCTTGGAAAATGTAAGCAACCTGATAAAGCTTTTGAACTCTTTCAAGCTATGGTTGATGAAGGTTGTGTTTTGAACTGTGAATCATACACCGCATTGCTAGCTGCCTACGGTAGGAGTGGTCTCTTGGATAAAGCTTTTTCTCTTCTTGAGGAAATGAAGAATACACCTGGTTGTCAGCCAGATGTCCAGACTTATTCAATCCTCATAAAATCGTGCTTGCAGATTTCTGCCTTTGACAAAGTTCAAAGTCTTTTATCTGACATGGCCGCTCTTGGTGTCAAACCAAACACAGTCACCTACAACACCCTTATTGATGCTTATGGGAAGGCAAAAAGGTAAAATGCTTACCTTTCTTTCTTTATCTTGTGAAAGTACTAATGCGCAGTCTGGTTGCTGACTGAAGTTGAAATAAGAATTTTATCCACTACCTACATTTCCAACATACTCTAGATACAATTGAATACTTGGGAGACCAGTGAGGTTGTATCTTTTTTAAAGACAAGACAGATAGGCAGATGAGTGGCAGCTTTAACCTTCATGATTTCCCTAAATGAGCTCTTTCAAAGGTGCATATTTGTCACCAACATTGTGAGAGACCAGAGAGGTTGTATCTTTCTTTTAAAAGACAAGGCAAGGATAGGCAGATGAGTAAACCCCAGGGGTTGACCTGTTGGCGAAGTCTTGGGTCCTGAGAGTATATTCCTATCAAGGTCTTAAGTTCGAATCCCGCTAGGTGCTAGCAACTTCTGTGTTGACCCAGTCCATACAGATATTTGATCTGGCTTTAAATGCCCCCCTCGCAAGTGGATGGTGGGATTGGTCTCATTGGATTAGTCGATCACAAAGCCAGATACCAAGGTTTAAAAAAAAGGTTAGACAGATGAGTGGCCGAATTAACCTTAATGATTTCCATAAATGAGCTCTTTCAAATGTGCATATTTATCACCAACATTGTGTGACCAAAGTGGTAGATGCTTGGGTCCCTTAACCATTTGGCCAGGGATTCGATCTCTAGCCGGTGCGTATGGAAAAACATATGTTCTCAGCTACCTCGAGGGGTCATTCTCCACAGGTTGAGATACCTTGGGTTACCGATTAAAAGGTGCATATTATTGCCTACACCAACCTGTCACTATCCAGTTCTGGATTGTCACCGATATAGTTGTGATGAAAACTTTATCATATTTTGTTGTTTGCTTGTATTTATATTCTTTTAGCAACAAGCTGCAGCATAACTCAATAGCATATTTGTATATCTGTAATATAATTTTATGCTCTTAAAAGGTTTTCAGAAATGGAATCCACACTTTTGGAAATGCTTGCTGAACAAGATTGTCAACCTGATGTATGGACCATGAATTCAACACTCCGGGCCTTTGGCAACCTAGGGCAGATAGAAACAATGGAGAGGTGTTATGAGAAGTTTCAGGCATCTGGAATCCAACCAAATGTTCAAACCTTCAACATTCTCTTGGATTCCTACGGCAAAGCCCATGATTACACGAAAGTGAGTGCTGTAATGGAATACATGCAGAAATATCATTATTCTTGGACTATTGTGACCTACAATATTGTGATTGATGCTTTTGGGAAGGCTGGGGATCTCAAACAGATGGAGTATTTGTTTAGACTAATGCGGTCAGAGAGAATAAAACCTAGTTGTGTCACACTGTGTTCACTTGTGAGGGCTTACGCACATGCAGGTAAGCCTGAAAAAGTTGGCGGTGTCCTGCGTTTTGTTGATAACTCAGATGTAACACTAGACACTGTATTCTTCAATTGCTTGGTGGATGCTTATATGAGATTAGATAGTTTGGATGAGATGAAGGGAGTGCTTGAGATCATGGAACATAAAGGTTGTAAGCCCGATTTCGTAACTTATAGAACAATGATTAAAGCTTATTCATCTAAGGGTATGCATAGTCATGTTAAGGTGCTTAAAGAGCTCCTTGCAACAGTGAAGAAGCCTCCTTTAGAAAGAAACAAATCTGACTTTTGACAAGAAGATTTACCGATATTTATTCTTCAATATGTTTGGCTTTCTATGATATGTTTACTTGTGAATATGTTGAATATATCTAGTGTAGTTGAGTTTGTTTTTTCTTTTTTTCTCTTCCTTTTCTTAGTTTTATAGTTAGACAGTTTAGGAGGAAAGAGACAGAAGAAAATAGGGCAAGGAAAAATGAGTAAATGTGTAAAATCACTAATTGAGAGAGGGAGTAAAATAGAGAGGAAGTAAAAGGAACGATATAGGTTTAGGGTCAAGTTTCTTTACTCTGGCCTTACAGAAAACATGGAATTCAAAATGTCAATAGTACTATTTTCGATTTCATTTCCATGTCTCTTATTTTTTGTTGGGTTTATTTGATGTTCCTTTCAAATGTAGGGGCATTGTTTCTGATGAGCACATCACATAGCAGTATGCTCTGACTAACATTTTTGTAAACATAAGGTTTATCTTTATTATGGATGATTCAAAATTGTTTTTCTAGTTCATGGAAAGGAAGATTCCAACTTGTTGAAGATTTCTTTGATTCATAAATAGAGTAGTTTTTGGACTCTTACACATGATTTGTCGTAATCACATCATTGAGAAGATTCTTAGTAAAAAGTGTATTTAAGGCCCCTACCTCAAAACATGAATATATCTTGATATTTCCAAACAAATCTAAGACAAAGACTTTTAGGCCCCTACCTCAAGTTGGCCCTTTAGAGTCAGGGGAATAAGTTGTGCATTTAAACACCCATACTATCAAGTTTTCAATATTGCGCTTATAGGTAGTGTGACCTCATTTTGCTCAATATATATTAAGTTTGGGGTGTGAGATTTGTTTTTCTCTTAATAAGAAAGAATATTTCTTATTAGGTCTCTTATAGGCTTTTATAGAATCATTTTCCCGAACACCAAATGTCACATTTTTTTCTTGTTTTTGCTAGTTTTGTTTTTAACACGGATATTTCCTTTTGAAAAACCAAAAAAAAAAAAAAAATTGCAGCTTTCATATTATGAACATGCATGCGGTCTTTTAGTTTTCTCCCTTAAAAATATGTGCGATAATATATATATCTCTTTCGGGTAAGACTGAGTCTTACTCGGGATATATCTTGTTGGTTAGTATTGAAGGTGACAAAAATATAATAAGAGGGAGTAAATTGTGTTGACTTTTTCTTCTTTTTTCTGTTAGAAAAATCTCATCAGATTTTGATCGCAAGGGCAAAATCTGAATCTGAGTCTGATTGTGATAGCAGCGGATAAAGTTGACCAGAAATAAATAAGAGAGTAAGATAACACACAAAACAATTTATTCTGGTTCCTCACTACTAGAAAATGTGTTTTTAACCTCGAATCTGAAATGTGTTTTACCTCGGCTATAAAAATGAAGTAACAAAAGGGCGTCATAAAAAATAACGATTTAACACCTCAATTTTTAAAACACCGAGGAATAAAATTATTTGCGCATGAGTTCGAACTCCATCATCTGCAATCTTATTATTTATAATACTAGATAAATGACGTTAAAATCTCCTTATTTCTTCTTCTGAAAACCATAACCATATTTCTTCGCACCACTGGACGAACTTCCATCTTTAGACAACCGTCCTTCTCAGAACCCTTCTAAATGGACCTCCATGCCAACCATCTCGGTAAAGTTGTTAGGAGCACTTGAAACCATCCTTTCATAATAAAAGGAGCTCAGAGTCTTTAAGAACGTCTTTGTCATCTCTTTCTCCTCCATTGGAGGATTGATCAGTGCAACTACCTCCTGTTACCTCTGGGCATACTTTGAATGATTCTTTATTTTTTTGTGACATGACCCGAAGCTGGTCACGATCGGGCACCATATCCAAATTGTACTTGTATCGGCGAATAAAGGCTTCCACAAGGTCATTGAAGCAAGTAATATGAGCACTATCAATCCTCATATACCACTTTAATGCAACATTGGTCAAATTATCTTGGAAGTAACAGACAACTTATCATCGTCTTATGAGTAGCCTTCTTTCTGCAATACATGGTCAAATGACTTTGAGGGAAAGAGTTTCACTTATATTTTTTGTAATATGGAACTTTGAACTTGACAGAGACCTTAACATTAGGCACCAAACATTGACTGTAAGCATTCTTCCCAAAACAGATCATTACCTTTCATAGCCTTCAATTCCTTTTGCAGTTCTTGAAACTGATTTTGAAATCCATCCAACCTTTCATACACATCTGCATTCTCATTGGGAGCAGTGTGGAAAACAAGGTTCTCTTCTTGTGGCACATCATGCACAATCAGAGGAGCAGTCACCATTATAGACTGAATAAGAGAAACTTGACTCACAGGAGAAGACTCAGTAGCAGGATTGAAACTCGCAAGCATAAAGTTGAGAGGAACTCCCTAAGGATAACTCTGAGGCATAAGAGAAGTTGCAAATTTAGAGATAACAATGACTTGAGGTTGAGGAGGAGGCAGAGGCTGAGGTTTATTCTATGTTGTAATCAAGGATTCTAACAAAGCGTTCACCCTATCCATGACAATCTTCAAAACATTCACCTCTTCACAGAGTTCTCTTTGTTCTTTCTCAAAAGTATCCATCTTCTTTCTTGAATTGGCCTGAGTATTATACTGATGAATCAGGTTGTCTTCTATGAAGATGAAGGAAAAGGAATAAGACTCCGAAAAAACTTGCGGAAAATAAGACCAATTATGTGTGATGCGTGAGATGCAATGGTTGTTTAAGGTTTTCTTTTAAGTTTTCAAGGAACTAAGAAATTATAAACAAATTGCAAATATAATAAGTAAATTTTTAAATAAAAAGGCAACTAAATTCTCATTTCTTTAACAATCTGAAAGAATTATAACTCGATTACAGAGTTTCAAGTCAATCCTTAAACAAAAGATAAAACTAAAGCCTAGGATCCGAGGTGACTCCAATTGAAGAAAAAACAACTCCATGTTGCATCTTCCTCTTGATCTGATCTTCAAAATCAAACTTCATATCAGCTTTCTCTTTCAAGATCTTGTCAACAATACCCTTCCAAGTACCAGAAGTAGGTGGAACATCAGAAAATTCTTTGTTGCTTTGAGATAGCAAGTTGCTAAAGAAAAATAAATCCTTTTGTACCCTCTTCCTCTTCTTTGAATGTTGCTCAAGTAAACCATCCTTCTGGTGAAGCAAATTATCCTTCTCCTTTTACTGTTTATGCAACTCTAGATTATCCATAGTCAAATCATAGAACTTGTTCTCCCAAGTATCTTTTTCTTGTGTCATCTGAGCTAAAGCAACTTGAAGCCCTTAGGTATCTTCAACTGGAATAGGAGAAGGTCTTATGACTTCAAGGACTATAGACTTCTCGATAGAATAAGGCATCTTGATCTCAACAACTCTTTCTTACACCCACTTAGTGTAAGGCTCCAAAGCTACACAATGCTTCTTCCCAAGATCTTTCATTCCTTTCCTATGAATCTTGTGCCAAGCACATACTATCCTCTCCTTCATACCTTTTCTATCAACCCCTTAATGAAAGAACAAACCTTCTAAAAGGATGTTGTCTAGCTTATCCTTGATAGTATATCCAAGTTGGCGAAGAGCTAGAGTCAGATTGTAGTTCATACCTCTTTTTGTACCAATAAGAGACACATTAGGAAATTCATCGCAATTGTCAATAATCTCCACACTGTCATAAACCCTAGAATAAAAAATCACATTTTCATTAGTAAGGGACACGATCCTCTAATACCACCTTGAATAAATCTTGTTATTCTTGGATAAGCTGGATTATGGCAAGTGTGAAATAAACCACTTATATAGTAAAGGCGCACAACACATTATGGTTCCTCCATTCTTTGAAGTCCTATAATGGATCGATTGATAAGTATCTTCGAGTAAAGTAGGAACATGATTTCCAATCCAAAAGATCCAGATAGCGTTAACATCCACATAGGTGTCAATATTAGGAAACAAGACTAGGCCATAGATAAGTAGAGCAATAATAGCTTTCAAAACAAAAATATTCCCTGCATTAGCAAGAGAGCGGTTTTCCCCATCAAGAACGAGCAGATAAACTAAGAATATCACCCTTAATTACAAGATTAGCCTTAATCTCTGATTTCTTCAAATGAATAGCTCCACCAATAACACGAGCATCGTGAATCTCCTCTAAACCACTTAATGGAATCTGATTAGAAACAGGTAACCTATGAGATAAGCATACTCCTCCAAAGTACGTACAATCTGATAATCTGGGAAAGTGAAACACCTATACAAGGGATCATAGATTTGGACCAAGGTCTTCAGAGATATTTCTTCAACATCAGTATTAAGCATTGTCAGAATATTTCCATAATGGTCTTTGAATTCCAAAGGACTAGTCACCAAAGATCCTAGCTTTCTCAGCTCTTTCAAATCAGGACTCTTGAAACTAAACTTATGAGTATTTCTTCTTCCAGAATCCATAACCATAATACATGCGATGTTTGTAAAGAAAACTCTTAAGTTCCTTAAAAACTAAGTGGAAATGATGTTTATGAATGCATGATTATGCTATAATTATAAACATGGTAGTTCAATGGCTCAACGTCACGAGCATGGAGCCAAGGTAACTACCCACCCACAAGGTATCTTATAAAGGTTTAACCATCTGAGAAAGTAACCAGATTCTAACAAGGTTCCCAGAGTCGTAAATCCATATATAAAATATTATCGGTTTAAACAACTTACTCACCAACTAATAATATTCTCAAGAGAAACTCATCTAAGTGTAGTATCATGTATCAACCAAACCAGGTCTACACCGGGATGGTCACCACACCACATCCTAAGAGGCCAAGAGGGGTAAAATTGGTTCTAAAGGTCCTCAGCTTCACAGATTCCCAGGTCGAAAGCAACAACGCCATTATAATTTTACTCGTAAGATATTATTAAAGTCAAAGAGGCCTCCACTGAGCGGGGGATCTTACGTCAACCTACTGAGGTGTAACGTCAAGTAGGTCAAAAATTATTATACTACTA